TTTGCTCTCACTCTGTAGACTGTATTTCTTTTCCTACTTCTTTCCCTGAAAACAGTAACCAATATGGTAGGTATTAATCCAACTATATCAATAACCACAGATGTCAATGGTCTAAAGATATCAATGAAGATTGTTAGAGTGAATCAAAAGAAAGACCAAGTATATGTTATCTATAAGAAACTAGCTTTAAATGTAAAGACACAGACTAAAAGTTAAGGGATATAGAAAGATATACCATGCTAAAACTGACCAAAAGAAAACAGAAGTAGAATATTAATTTCAGGCAGAACAGCAAGAAAAGTTATTAGGGATAAAAACAGACTTTACATAATGATAAGGGAGTTAATACTTCAAGGAAACATGATAATTTTTTTTTGGAGGCAATATAGTTTAGGCTGGTCTTGATTTTACTACATAGCCCAAAGTGGCCTCAAACTCAAGCCAATTGTTCTGCCTCAGTCTCCTGAGTGCTGGTATTACAGGTGAGCACTACCATGTTGGGTTTGGACTACATAAAAATTCTTAATTTGTATGTGCCTAAAAACAGAGCATCAAAATACGTAAGGGCAAAACTGATAAAACCACAGGACTGGATAAATCCACTATAGCAGACACTTTAAACATATTCAAACTGGCTTGAACCACTGGTGGTACACACGACTGTCCCATCAGACAGCTCGAACCACTGATAGTACAAACAGATCTAATCACTTTTACTGGTCCTTTTACTAATAAAATTAATAATTAAAAATCACAGAATTAAAAAATTCTATAGGTGGACCAAATCTAGATAGTTACTTGAATTTGTATAATCACTGCCCAAATACAAATATTAATACTATTCAACCAATTAAAATTATTACAATAATCAACAAATTCATTTCATTAAATTAAAAGAAATTTATTTACATTCTTGAATAGCTGATCAATTAATTATCTAAATTTTAACATGGAAATCTTACAAGTACCCCCTTGCTGGTATACATAATATGCATTTATAACTGCTGTATCACAAATTAGCTGTACTCCAAATTTTTATACCATTTTAATGTTTTTCTTAAGGACCTAATATGATGGCACCTGATATACTATATCAATGTCTTTCGATTCATCAGTGTAATCAAAGACCCCTGTGAGAACTAGTATAAGTTGTCTGATGGGACAGTTGATACACTTACTACCAGTGGTTCAAGCCAGTAGAAATGGCTGAATTCAAATCAGACCCTCCAACCAGGACATACACAAATTAGAGCTCCACTATGAATGTGTTAGCACCCCCTTATGAGAAGCAGGCAGCTGGGTGCGGTGGCACACACCTGTAATACCAGCACTGAGGCTGAGACAGAAGGATCGCCATTCAAGGCCAGCCTAAACTACATAGTGAAACCTTGTCTCCAAAAACAAACAAACAACAACAAGAACAACAACAAGAGGTAGAAAAGCCAATGAAGACTTAGGTAACACCATAAATCAACTTGACATATGAATATCTATATACAATTTCATCTAACAATAGCAAATTACGTATTTTTTTCTCAGGCTCACATGAAACATTCACCAAAATAGATATTTTGGACCATAAAATGCACATTACTGAATGTAAAAGAACAGAAATTATTTAATGTCTGCTCTCAGACTACAATAATTAAATTAGAGGGGGCTGGGGATTTAGCTCAGCGGCAAAGCGCCTGCCCGGCAAGCAAAAGGTCGTGAGTTCGGTTCCTGGTACCGGAGAAAAACCAAAAAAAAAAAAAAAAAAAAAAAAAAAAAAAATTAAATTAGAAATCAATGACAGAAAATCATATGCAAAACCTCCAAATATGTGAAGATCAACTATTCATCCTTCTAAGGTCATTCTTCTAAAATTAACATGAGTCAATTAAGAAATATATAAAAAGTAAAAATGTTTTGATCTATATAAAAATAAAAATATAACATTAAAATTTGTTGAATGTAGTGAAGGCAGACTCTAAAATTTATTTTACTTTTTGCAACTGGGATTACTGAACCCAGGGCCTGCCTTCCTTCTTTCCTTCCTTCCTTCCTTCCTTCCTTCCTTCCTTCCTTCCTTCCTTCCTTCCTTCCCTAAGCTGGGTTTGAACATTCCATCCTCCTGCTTCAGTCTTCCAGAGTGCTGGGATTACATGCCAAAATGTAATGCCAAAATGCCCAGTCATGAAAGGAAATTTAAAGCTGGGCATGGTGGCACATATCTTAATTCCAGCTACTCAGGGAGTTGAAGTGGGAGGTCAATATAGGCAACTCAGACAGATCATGTCTCAAAAACAAAAAATAAACAGTGCTGAGGATATAGCTCAGTGATAGAGGCCTCCAGGATTTGATCTCGTCATTGAATGCTTATATTAACATATAAGATCTAAAATCAATATTCTAAGCATTTACTTTACGAAATTAGAAATAGATAATTTAAATTCTATCTCAGTAGAAGAAAGGATATACTATATAGAGGAGAAATCAATAAAATTGTAGAAAGGAAACCAAGAGAGGAAATCAACCCAAAGTTGGCCTGGAGTGGGCCAGCAGCCCCATTGATAAACAATGCACCAGCAATCCTTACTGCATGAGAAATACATGTCTATTGCAAGCTGTAAACCTAGTGTAAGGGTTTAGTCTGAAAGGGACTCCTCTTGCAAGGCAGGCTAGCTATATAGAAGCAATTCAGTGCATTGCCCATCCTACCTGAGTGTAGCAAAACTAAGAAACCAGAGTTTGACTGCATGATAGGCAAACGGACTTATCAGATGTCTATAGAATATTCTTTCCAACAACTACATAATATATATTTTTTTCAGCAGCTAAAAAATGATGATGATGTTAATATTCATGAAGTACTAAGCATATTAACTCAAAGAATTACATTCAAGATACCCAGGCAGGCTCAAATGGTCAAATAATGTTCACAATTAAAAGCATATACCCTTGAGTTGGGAGATTTAGTCCTGCCAGGACTTAAAATAGATAATCATTTCAGAGAAGAGCAGCCAATAGTAAGTACTGCCTAGTTCTCATATTACAACTGTGAAACAACTATGTACAAAGCCGAGATGAGATATATTTATTTTTGTATGAGAAAAGGACAGGGGAGACATATGCTGTTTTATAAACTTCTAGGAAAGGGAGCTATTTCCCTAAAACAGAACCCAGTCAACTTTTTGGAGGAAATTACCTAAGCATGATAAACCTTTTCCTTTGAAGATCAGATATGTTTCCCACTCCTAGGAAACCCTGTGCTCATACTGGTATCTTCTAATGTAACAGCTACTGTTTAAGATGAGACCCTTCCCTTGAGGACCGAGTTTATTTACAGAATCCCCAGATTCTCAGGGCCCTGACAACTAATCTACATGCATCTTTACTGTTTCCTTTCAAAGACTCACTGAACTGTAACAAGAAGAACAGATCTGTCTTACTCAGCTAGATGCGGACCTGTTCCACTGCACTGGTGTCTCCCTTTTATTGCCAAAAATATACAAGGTCCAGCCTTAGGACAACAGTATCCATGGGTTACCAAACCCAAGCACAAGCTCTGAACAGCTTCCTATGATTCTAAGTCTTCTCTTTTTCCATTAACTCTAGGTTTAAAACTGCTATAAACAGTGTAGCAACAAACAGTGTAGCAATGAACAGTGTAGAGGTAAGTCCCTCAGGCAAAGTTGGTTCTGGATCCCACAGGATACAAGTGTATAGGTTTATACCCAAAGACATAGCCAATTCACATAAGCTTTTCTGTCCCTCCCTTGGAAGCAATGTGTACCTGAGTCAATAGAAATTCCATAATTTTTATATATTCTTCAAACAGATGCATATGAAAACTGGTCCTTTTGTTAGAAGCTCATATTCTAATTTTATTTTTATATACTGGGAATTGAACTCAGGACCTTGCACTTGCCAGGCAGGCGCTTGTGCCACTGAGCTATATCCCTGGCCCAAAAAGAAGAGCTCACATTGGTTTGTTTGTTTTTTTTTAAGGTACTGGAAATTGAACTTAGAACCTTCCATTTGTTAGGCAGGCGCATGTGCCACTGAGCTATATCCCCAGCACCCTAGAAGCCCGTATTCTACTCTATTCTATTTATTTATCTTTTGGTACCGGGATTCAAACTCACAACCTCAGGCTTTCCAGGCAACCGTCTATGCCGCTGAGCTATATCCCTGGCCCGAAGCCCATACTGTATTTTTTTTTTTTGGTCTTTTTTGAGACAGGGTCTCACTGTGCAGTTCAGGCCACCCATGAGCTCACTTTGTAGCCCAGGTTGGTCTCGAACTTGCAACGATTCTCCTGCCTCAGTCTCCCTAGTGCTGGGATTACATGTGTGCGTCACCACGCCTGGCTCCGAAGCCCATATTCTAATTCTTTTTTTTTTTCTTTTTTGGAACCGGGAATCAAACTCAGGACCTTGCACTTGCCAGGCAGGCGCTTATGCCACTGAGCTCTATCCCCAGCTGAAGCCCATATTCTAGATGAAGCAGAAACTGAATGCATGAAGTCATGTGCTTCAATTCCAATATGTGAAATCAATGTCATGAAACAAATTAATTCTTCTAATTTTATTTCTTCCTCTCAGTCTAACATGGGGAAAGTTAACCACAGAGCCATTAGACAAAAATGCTCTGCGCCCTGATTCTTGGGCCCAGAGGGACAAAACGTTATTGCACCCTTGTCACATGGCCCAAGATGCCTGGGACCATAACAGAGTACAACACTTTAGAACTGAGGTTACAGAGGATATATACCTGGCCTGAAGGTATGTACAAGACTAAAAGGAATGCTGAGAGGACAAGAGAAGAAACAACTCAGTCAAAAGCAAACTAAAAACATTCTACTATAGAAAAAGCAAGCCCAGAACTCTTGCTTCAGAACTTGCTTCAGTCAGCCAAGTGACAATGTCATTTACTGCATCTGCACAAAGTCATAATTAGGAAAGAGGTCAGATGTCTGTGAACACTTTTTCACACCATCTTAACCTGCAAACACTCACCTGTGTGGCCATGGAGTGGCGAGTGTGGCCGTGGTAGTGTAGGTGATGTGCTAGAGGTTACAATCAAGCTCTTGCGATTACTTGTCCGACAACTGCAAGGAAAATAAAAGTGTCAGTTATGAAAGGGCCACACCACTGACCTACAGACTTTAAGGAGCTACAGGGGAACAGAAGAGTGACACCATTACAGAATGAGCAGTTTACTGCTTTAACCCGAACGGGGTTAGCAATTACTATTTGCACAAATTAGATTCTATAATTTAGTTTGTTCTCCCTTGGAGTATTTTTTTTGCCCTAACTTCTGTCTTACATTGTCATTGTGTTCTTTCAGTTTAGGTTTGCTTCCTTAAACAGATACAAGCAATTCTCTAAGGGCCCCAATCATGTTTTTGACTTGAGGTTTTACTATGTTGTCCAAGTTGGTTTTGAACTTTCAGTTCTCCTGCCTCAGCATCTAGAGTTGCTGGAATTACAGACGTGCACTTGTTCATCACCACACCCAGAAACAATGAGTTTTAAATGATATCTAATGAAGAATGTCCATCCCAAATTTTATTTATAAACACAAGTCAAAATATTCTCTCAGCTAGGGGTGAAGGTCAATGGTAGAATACTTACTTACCTAGCACGCTGAAGGTCCTAAGTTTGACTCCCCAGCATCAAACAAAGAAACCTCAAAATCTTTATCTCATAAAATTATTTTTTCCATAAAGAATCAAACTGTTAATTTAACAAGTTATTTTTTGAATTGCTTATCCAGGAATACAGCTCAGTGGCACAAGTGCCTGCCTGGCAAGCATAAGGTCCTGAGTTCGATTCCTGGTACCAAAAAAACAAATAAATAAAAAACCCCCCCAAAAAAACATATCTTGGCTTGAATTGCTTAATTAACAAATTAAGTAAAATTACACCATAAATTTCAGAACAGGCCTGAGTTTCTTCTATAAAATTGGCTCTTACATGTTAAGACTTTTTCCTGTGACTGGAGAACACTATATCATTATGAAAAGTCATTTCATGCAACATCTGTTAGTGAAAAGTTTGTATAAATTTATCTGAAGCTGGGCATGGGCTCATATGCCTATAATCGCAGCACTCTGGGAGGCTGAGGCAGGAGGATCATTTCAAGCAACTTAGCAACTTAGTGAGATCCTGTCTCAAAATAAAAAATAAAAAAGGGTTGGATGTAGCTCAGTACAAAAGTGCAAAAACCCTGGGCTCAATTCTCAGGATGTGCAAGTGAGCAAGTACACATATACATCAGCCTATTTTAAAAAAAATTAGAGAAATTTTGCCATTTATAATCATCCAAATAAATATTTATTGGATACTTTCTAAGTTCTAGCTACTAGGAAAGCAGTATATAAGAAAGTTTCTGTTATCACTGGAGTGAACAGTGTTATGGGAAAAAAAATAACACAGGAAAAGGAGGGGAGAGAAGAAAAAAAGGAGGAAATAAGAGACTGAAATGGGAGTGGAAGCTGTAGCATCAAGGGAACTTCGATTAAGGCGATAACATTTGAACAGAGATCTGAATGAGAAAGCTGACTAATACACAAAACTGGTATTGAGAGTGGAGCTGTTGCTGTTACTTTACCTGACCACATGGCTTAGAAGCCTTTGGAACTGGTGGGTGGGAGGAGTTTGGAGATGTAGGGGAGAAAAATGATAGAATGCTGTAAACAGAACTTAGTGGGTGACTCTGGTCAGATCTAAGACACCAGAATGCTGATAGGAATGTGAACAGTCAAGTCTAGGTTCAGGAGGTTTTGGTTGGGAAAGTGATTAATATATTGGACTTCATGGTCCTCCCCTACATGCTTCCCACTTTCCTGGCTGATTTTTCAATTTCTTTTTTGGTTCTTTCTCTTCCTAACCAATAAATGACTTAGGCAGGGTGTGGTGGCGCATGCCTGCAATCTCAGCATTCAAGAGGCTGAGACAGGAGGATCATTGCAAGTTTGAGGCCACCCTGGGCTACAAAGTAAGTTCAAGACCAGCCTGAACTGCATAATGACACTCTGTCTCAAAAAGACCAATAAATAAGTAAATAAATAAATAAATAATGAATAAATAAATGATTTGCTATAGTGGGAATCAGATCTGAAATAGTTTCTTTTTTACCTACACTCACAACCTAAATCTTTTCTCTTCTCTTTCTTTCGTTTTTATTTTTGTTTTTTTCCAGTACCAGGAATCGAACTCACAACCTTGCACTTGCCAGGCAGGCACTGTGCCACTGAGCTAAATCCCCAGCCCCCTCTTTTTTTTTCTTTCTTTCTTTCTTTCTTTCTTTCTTTCTTTCTTTCTTTCTTTCTTTCTTTCTTTCTTCCTTCCTTCCTTCCTTCCTTCCTTCCTTCCTTCCTTCCTTTCTTCCTTTCTTCCTTTCTTTCTTTCACAAAAACAACTCTACATTTATTGGTCTCCAGTAAAAACATAAGGGTAGTCAAAACAATGTGAACAAATGTTTTACAAATACTCCCAGGACAAAGCACTTATTGGCTGCCTTTTTTTACATATTATTATAATAGTCATTGCCTCACTTCACTGTTGTCTTAATTCACTGATCATTTCTAGTTGAAGACACTTTGTAGCAGACTAATATTATCTTTCAGCATGATCCGACCTAGTTGTTTTCTTCACTTTGTTTTAGAATGAATTTCTTCTGAGTCATCTACCACAAGATTCATGTACTCATCAAAACCAATAATACAGCCCTCTATCCGCATATTCACTTGCTCATACAGCCACACTTGAATCCAGGATCTATTCTGCAAGTATCTGAAGATGAGGTTGATGGGCTGCACCATCACCTTCTGCACTTTCGGGCCCTGGCCCCTGTACAACATGGCAAAATCTGACGAAGACCAACGATTTTCAATTGCATAGCTTTTATTTATTTATTTATATATTTTTTATTTGTTTGTTTATTTATTAGTGAGACAGGGTCCTGCTATGCAGCTCAGGCTGGCCTTGAACTCACCAAAATTCTCCTGCCTCAGCCTCCCACCTGCTGAGATTATAGGCATGCACCACCACGCCTAGCCTAAAGACCATGTAGATACTGATGATACCCAGCTTTTTATTGCTAGCTCTGTGCTCTCTCCTCTGAGCACAAGACTTAAATCCAAGTACCTAGCTGGCACATCTACTTGGATGTCAAAAAGCCATTTTAAATAACATTGCCAAAACAGAGCTCCTCAATTCTCTCTAAAATTTGCTACTCTTCTCTACCTTGTATGAAGTGTGACTGAAAAATATACTAAATATTTAAATTTTAAAAATAATTACAATAAAAGATACATTGTCATTAACCCCTTTAAAATATCCCTCTCACTTTGAAAACACCATTTTTGCCACTTTCTAAAGCAGTTCTGGACATCTATTTTTGTGTGTGAGTGTCTTTATTTACACTGGCTGTGGCTGCCTTGGTATTGCGAATTGATTCAGAACATTTGTCTTTCACAAGTCACCTTGACCATGGGGAAGAGCCAGAAGTCACATAGTGATACATCTGGTGAATTGGGTGAATAAGGACATACCATAATATTTTTATGATCCTGCCTTACTCTTGGATGGCACCCAACCACACCATTCACCAATTTTTCCTTTTTTTTGTCTTTTTGAGACAGGGTTTCACTACGCAGTTCAGGCTGGCCTCAATCTTGCTTTGTAGCCCAGGCTGGCCTTAAACTTGCAGCCATCTTCCTGCCTCAGCCTCCCAAATGCTGGGATTACAGGCATGTGCCATGTGCATTCACTGTATATTTCGATTATACCTTCTACCTATCTCATTACATATACCACCATTCATTAGGGGGTTCTGGTAAAAACCCACACACCATCACTGATTTTCCTTTTTCTCACATTCAAGACTAGCAACTCCTGTGCATTTTACCTTTAAGATCTATCCCAAACAACTGTTATTACCTCCACCTCTACTGCTAACCCACCCTGTGGAAGATATGTGAATGATCTTCCTCTTTGTACTTTTGGTTCTTACTTCCCAACTTCTACCCCTACTCCTCAACCTTGCACTAATCTAGTCTTCACCCCACAGGTAGAGTAACATTTTTAAAGCTTTTAAATTGGGCCATGTGACTTCTTTCTTAAAACCTTCCCAGGGCCTTTCCAATACATTGTGAAAATAACTCAAACATTTTACTATGGTCACTTAAATTAATTCTTTGTCACCTTAAGTTAATTCTCTGTTGCTGGGTGTGTAATTTCAGTACTCTGGGAGGCTGAGGTGGGAAGATCATTGCAAATTCAAGGCTAGCCTGGATTCTGTCTCAAAAACAAACACAAACAAACAAACAAAACAAAACAAACCCCAAACGCCCAAATTTAATTTTTTGTAAAGAATTTACTTTCTCTTAAGGTTCTCAACTAAGGCGTTTTTTTTTGTTGTTGTTGTTGTTTTGTCTTTTTGAGACTGGAGTTCACTATGCAGTTCAGGTTGGCCTTGAACTCACTTTGTAGCCCAGGCTGGCCTCGAACTTGAAGCAATCCTCCTGCCTCAGCCTCCTGAGTGCTGTGTGTGTGTCATCATGCCTGGGCTCAGCTAAGGTTTTGTTCTGAATTTTCTTAAAAAAAAACATACCTATATTTATGTAGTCTTTTTTTCTGAGGGTATACAAGTTATATTTGCAAGAAAATAAACTTTAGGCCTTTGGTGGCAAACTTAATGGCATACAGGGCACAGGAAGCTGTTTATTACCACTGAAAGATCTAAAAGGTTTGCCATCACTGCTCTAGGCTATATAGGCCTGAATATGTAAAACTTTGCAAAATGAACATATGAAACCTCATTGGTTCTTGGAGAACTAACCCTGACCAGGGAATCTGGAAGAGGCAGACACCTCAAAGACTTCCACTGTACTTTCACTCAAGCTACATCCTTCAACAAGTATGCCTGGCTCCTAATTTAGCCAGTCCTACTTTTCCTTCATGAACTATGAAGTTCAAATTGGTTTTATGTGAATTATTCTTCATTTTTTCAAGCAGGAAAACATCTCTCCTTTATTTGAACTTCTCTAACACATATGGCTTATACCACAGTGTTTGTTACTTTTCTCTTGTTGCTGAGACA